CTGAATATTTATCTATTTTTTTAATCGCTTTAAATTATTTGCACCATTGTTTAAGATGTTTAGGTTAAATAATTTTAAAAAGAAAATCTAAAGTAAATAATAAAAAATTGAGATGGAAACTTTAATTTTGAAAAACGTTAAAAATTAATTGCACTACTACTATAATATTTGAGAAGGTAAAAAAAATCTCGTTTAATTTAATGCATTGATCCTAAAGAAAAGAAAATCACATTGTATATATGTATTTGCCATTAATGCCTTCTTTTCTTGAGATTATATTGGAACAATAATGGGATTATATTACTGGGACAAAATAATGCAATCTTAATTAGATTTTTACACTCATGTGGATGTCATGGCGGATCAATACATCTTATTAACTATAAATTGTTTCATAAGAATAAATTGAATTTAATTAAAAAAATTAAATTTAAATACAAATTTAATAATATTCTGTGAATTGCTGCAAGGAATAAAATTTAATTTAAACAAATTAAATTTAATTTTAACAAATAATGATGATTTTAACAAATAATTAAAATTTTAACAAATAATGGATATATTTTCATTGATTATGCTTCTGAATTTAAATGATATTGTAGATTAGTTCGAGTATTAAATCTTTTATATGTTTGCACATTTTTTAAAAACAATTTTGCCTTTTTTTTAGGATTTAAATTTGCTTTTTTACTTTTATACGTATTTGTTAAAAATAAATTTAAATTTGTTAAATTTATTAACTATAACAAATATTTTATATTGAATATGTATCAAACGGTAACAACTTCAACTCAGTATTATTATTGGATCAAAACGATATTACAGTTAAAATTCTCTCTCTCCTTTTTTTTTTTTTTTTTTTTTTTTTTTTTTTATTTTTTTAAATACTATTTAAAATATGGTAAGCTTTTCACATCACATTTTTTTCAATTACAATAAATTTCTAACTTTATCGTAGATGAGACAGAATAATAATCCAGTTATTTTAATAGATTTTATAGAAAATAATGATAAAGCATTGAGCTTTATAAAAGTAATCTGATTTTTAAAATAATGCTGTTTTACCTGTTTATGTTCAATGTTGCATGAATCAAGATCTTCAGCTTTTTTTTTTTTTTTAACAAAGTTAAACATATCGCACAATCTTTTCTCAATAATTTAAGCTAATAATAGCATTTTTCTTTTTATTGCAGGCAGTAGTTTTTATGAAATCAAAACGCGTACGACTTGGCGAAAAAAGGTTAACGCCAATTGGCGCAGCTTTCTATTTCAACGGAATACACGGAAAAAACATATAAAATTCAATTATTTGTAAAGGGTGATTCCAGTAAATTGTGTCACAGTATTAATACATTTATGCTATAATACATGCTGAAAATGTCATATACGGCGGTAATTTTCTTATAGAATATGGCTGAACTTTCCAACCAATTCAAACAGAGATAGTAAAATGACAAAAATACTGAAAATAAAATAATAAATCATGCAGTTTTAACTTACCTATGAAAGGTTACAAGTCCTCCTTTCACGAAACTTTCTTTACATCCGTAGGCGCTGCAGCGAATAACCATTTTTACTTAAATTTTATGTGACCAAGCAGAGCAGCTCTTTCGTCCATAGAAAGCAATGTAAAGTATTTCCGGACTTTCGGAATTCGCGCAGCAGTCACGTGACACTAATGTTGAAACTGGTTGAAGGTTGCAATACGCTCTCTACCAGTATACTATCTCGTTGTTTTCAGCTCAGTATTTAGGGTTACCATAAATAACAAGGTTATCATAATCTTCATTTATCGTGCCCAAATGTCGCCAAAAAGGACTAATACTACTAAAGCTGTGCCTGGAGAGACTAAATATTTGGTACTTTTCTGGCATGGTGATCCGATTCAGAAATGTATATATATATATATACAGAGGCTGTTTGCACATTTTTTAGACGATTTTGGTAAGCGGTAATAAAAAAGCATTTGCTGCAAAAGAAGTAATTGCAATTGTACTATGTTTTTAAAAGTGAAAATTATCATCTGTGACTTGAAAGCTTTGTTTTTATTCAAAATGACGAATTTAACAAAGCAGTGGTCCGAAGGCTACATTTACCCTCTTTCCGAAGAGAAATATGCATACTCCATTATCCAAAAATGATGTGAGTGTCATGGTTTTGTGATATCTAAAGCATCGATAGGTAATATCATCAACAAGAAAGGAGAAAAACATCAAATTGGAGCCTCAAGTGGGACAAAAATTCCAAACAAGTATCCAAGGAAAAAACGGACATCTTCGACTATTGCAAAGGTACATTGTTTAATGTTAAAAGAAAATCCCCCTAGTCAAAGGACAGTTGCAAAATCATTAAAATGCTCAGTGTCCACTGTAAACGAAATGATAAACGTTGATTTAAATCTTAAGAAAGCGAAAAAACGCAATGTGCATCGTCTTCTTCCAAAGCATATCGCTCAATGCAGGACACGCTGCAGAATTCTATATGAGAAACACTTATCCAAAGAAAAAAAGAAAACATTTGTCACAATAGATAAAGCATGGGTGTATTTAAATGATCATAACAAAAACAGAGCCATTTATTATCATAAAAGGGGAGGAAAAAATTTAAGTACATGGTTCAAAGAATCGAAAGAAAGTTTTTCTAAGGGATTCATGATTGTTGCTGGTTTTTCTTATAATGGCAAGTTAAAAATAAAGAGAGTGCAAAAAAATGTCAAGATTAACTCCAAATACTATCAGGAACATATTTTATCGCCAATTTTTCTGAATGAAATACCATCGCTTTACCCACAGTGCCATCGCTCTGTGAGACTCCATCAGGACAAAGCTGTCACACATCAAAATCCACTGTAAATTTCCTAAAAGAAATGGAACAAAAAACTGGTATCAAGGCCATACTCTTCACTGACATCCCTACTAAATCTCCCGATGTGTCACCTATGGATTTATGTGCTTTCGGACTTTTAAAAACAGCATTATCCAAACGTTGTCCCAAAACCCTAACAGGACTCTGGAAAGCTGTTCGGGAGGAATGGGATAGAATACCTCTTCTGCCACTTCAAAAGGCATTATTATCCTGGAAATTATGGTGTTGAAAGATAGTTCAGAATAAGGGATGTCAAAATAGAACATTTAAAACACAAGAATTTTATGTAATTTAGTTTATGGAATACAATATACATCGTCTAAAAAATGTGTGAACAGCCTCTGTATATGCAGGTATGTGTGCATAAACATACATACCCACATACATTACTGAATCCCATCCTGATAACAGAAAAATACCAAATATTTTTTTGTAAATTGGCATTCTAAAAAAATTATCTTACTAAGTAAGTACAATAGAAGTGTGAATATCAAGATTAGTTATTCTTTCAAGATGTACCACTTCTTTCAGATGTGTTTCACATACCAGTAATATGTAAATGTGTATCATTTAGTCACTATATAGAGATGTTTAACTATACCTCTGTTAATGGATATTCCACTTTAATGATTAATTTCTGGATCTCCAGACAGTCAAAATAAGGAGAACTATTCAGTTTCCCTTTAGCAGACTCTCGCTAATAGCAGTGCAAAAATACTTTTGTTAAGCATGTCTGCTCGACTATACCTTTTAAGTTGTTTCGAGAGTTTCAATCTATTTATACTCTTTCCAGTTGATGTTTAGCTATATACACTGCAGATATTGACTGAAAAGTATGTTTAATTGGACATCTAACTATAGTGAAAAGTTTTGTTTGTATTGAAGATTTAGAATCACGCTTTTGTATATCTTAAATCTAGACAATGAAAGGAACCTTTTTCTGACATAGCATTGCATTGTTTTATAAAAGACAGCAGTACTAATAATCCTATAAACAAGATTTATACTGTTCATCAGAGTAGTGCTGTAAGTGTTTAGACAGCTGTTATTTGGTTTAGTTCTGAGCTGATGATTTTAATTCACAAGATGAAGTCCGCAGTAATTATCCATTAATATAGATGTAGATTTCATCCAGACTGAGTTAAATATTAAGTTCTAAATTAAAGTTTAATGATACTTTTTTGATTTTTTAGCACTATAATGGTATAATAAAGTGAGAATGATTTTCTGTGCAACATTTAATCTCGATAAACTGCATTTTAAATCAAAATAAAATAAGGAAATAACATAAAAATTAAAACGCATGTTATCTAATCTGTGCAGTAAAAAAAGAAATATCCACTTATCTTATTTATAAATTTCTGTGTCTTCGGTGTATGGCACTCAGAATTACTTAACAGCTTCCGAAAACTGTTTAAAAATATGTGTATATTGCCATCGCCACATCAATTCACAAAAGTAAGAATCAAAAAATCCTCTATTGTGCAGGGCTGTTGGCGACATTTCTTTCGAAAATTCCTCCTTATTACACCCCACATACCTTTGATAATGTTGATATGAGCTCCAGTTTTTGGATCTGTAAATGTCACTGCATGATTTGGTGAGAGATCAACAAAGCCATTTAAACCTTCATTTACATAGCAGTCAATCAATGCTTTCTTTCCCATTTGTTCCAAACCCTACTGAAGCTTCAGGTTAATCATACTACCAGCAGCCATTTTATGGTGTATCCAATGCAGAAATAAGCCCTGAGAAATTCCCAACAGTCAAGATCAGCACAATGATTGATTACAAAAAATCACATCCTGATATGGTCCAACCAATCACGTCATGATAGGGTTTCAAAAACATACACTGTAAAATACTCAGTCTACCATAAATGAAACAACAACTTAGCAATAATCCAAGGGGTACCCAAAAATAGACTACCCAATAATTTGTATTGTAGGTCATCTTTCTTATTTACATTTGATTATGTTTAGGCTACATTGCTTTCAAAAGTAAATGCTAAATTGTGATATATTAATTGAAATATTGTTGTCATTTATATGTCATTACAATTTAAGAATAAGGTTTATTGAGTTTCCTTATATTTATGTGCTACTGATTATAATTATTTATGCTTTCAGTCTGTCACATTGCATACTGATGTTGGAGATATGAAAGTTGAACTTTTTTGTGAGCAATGCCCTAAAGCATGTGAGGTGAGAAAACAGCTATTTTTCAGAATTTCGTAGTATAAACTTTTTTATTTGTTAGCAATATTCTTTTAAATGCAAACCTAAGAGTGTATATTTTGAGCGAAAAAAAATTCTATTCCAATTTTGCAAAAATAAGCAATGTAGGAAATTATGCCTTAATATTAATGTCTGCTCATGTGAATTATCATTTATTTATAGCTGAATTGGGTACAAGATCTGTCTCAAATTAATCCTTAGCCATGTTGAGTTATTTTCTAAAAATGCCTTTAAAACTGTTGCTAATTTTGGATCAAACTTCCTGGAAAATGTCACAAAAATAACCCTAAACTTCTGGAAAATGCCAGCTACACTTCTTTGTTTGGCTGATCTTTGGAATATGGTAACAGGTAGTTTGGCGACATTTTGGAGGCGATAAAGGTTACTACCTAGGACTTTGGAAGTAATGTGAGAAGTACTCAGTTCCAATTACGCATTATTTTGTGTGAGGGAAATGAGAGATCATGAGATATGTCATGTGACATTAATGGATGAATCACTGTTCTTTATTCAGAAAAGGGGGTATATTTGTAAAAATATCTGCTGTACTTTATAGCAGTAGTTTCATTCTATGTTTTGTGAAACAGTGTTGTTTAATATTTGGATCCCATGGCCGTATATAAAGTAAATCCGAAATTTTTATTGCGTTTATGTGTAATTGAAAAGAATTGCTTAATTGCGGATAAGTATGAATGTCCAATATGTGGGAATGAAATGAGATTATGTAAAAGGAAGCATATTACAGATAGTTTGAATGGCGGTGCAAGAAACCTGGTGAAAATGGTTTACATTTTGTGATCCGCCATGTACTCAAGATTCTGTAGAAGATTAGGTAAGTTAGTATTTTTAATTATTTGAGGATATTATTTTTATGCATTGTTCTAAATGTAAGGAGTAAATAAATTAACAAGGTATTATTGGAAAATTGTTATTAGCAATGATTTAGTTTAAAGTAATTAGTATTGTAAGCTAATTTTTATTAATTTAATGTATGTGCTTATTTATATTTTAAGTAGTGTTTTTTAATTTAATTATATTTTAATTTAATGATCATGATTTTGAGAGTTATATGTTTGTAGTATTTTGGAATACATTTGAGTAGAAGTAAATATGCATGGAAAGAATTTAAGTATTTGACACTAAGTATTTGTAATCATTTTTAATGTTTTGTTATAAATTCGTTGCTGACATTTATAATAGATAATTTAGAGGTAAAAATTTTTGGATATTTTATTTATTTTGTACGTGCAAATGTCCATCCTTGGAAAGGGTATATACATTTTCGCGATCAGGTAATTTCACATATGTCCTTTTCACCGAATTTAAAGATTCACAAAATTTTCATGCATTTTCGTGAAATTTTTCTAATTTATGAGAAAAAAGCAGTGTACATGGATATAGTGAAGAGTGTGCACAATGCCATTTTTGTGCAATTCTGGGATGTTTTTTTAAGTAAAAATAAGTCGACGTGTACATGGTTTAATTATATTTTAATTAAATGATAGTTATTTGTGAATTATATGTTTGTAGCAATTTGATATACGTTTCAGTGGAAGTAAAAGGTGCATGGAAATAATTTAATATTTGACACTAAGTATTTGTAACCATTTTTAATGTTTTGTTATAAATTCGTTGCTGACATTTATAATAGATAATTTAGAGGTAAAAATTTTTGGATATTTTATTTATTTTGTACGTGCAAATGTCCATCCTTGGAAAGGGTATATACATTTTCGCGATCAGGTAATTTCACATATGTCCTTTTCACCGAATTTAAAGATTCACAAAATTTTCATGCATTTTCGTGAAATTTTTCTAATTTATGAGAAAAAAGCAGTGTACATGGATATAGTGAAGAGTGTGCACAATGCCATTTTTGTGCAATTCTGGGATGTTTTTTTAAGTAAAAATAAGTCGACGTGTACATGGTTTAATTATATTTTAATTAAATGATAGTTATTTTGTGAATTATATGTTTGTAGCAATTTGATATACGTTTCAGTGGAAGTAAAGGTGCATGGAAATAATTTTAATATTTGACACTAAGTATTTGTAACCATTTTTAATGTTTTGTTATAAATTCGTTGGTGACGTTTATAATAGATAATTTAGAGGTAAAAGTTTTTGGATATTTTATTTATATTATACATGGAAATGTTCATTCTTGGAAAGGGTATATACTTTTTCGCGATCAGGTAATTTCATATATGTGCTTTTTACCGAGTTTAAAGATTCACAAAATTTTCCTGCATTTTCGTGCAAATTTTTGTAATTTATGAGAAAATAGCAGTGTAGATGGATAAAGTGAAGAGTGTGCGCAGTGCCATTTTTGTGCAATTCTGGGACGTTTTTGTAAGTAAAAATAAATCGACGTGTACATGGTCACTGTGTATGTGCGATTTTGAAAAACGCGGCAAGGAGTTTGCGATTCTGCTCTTTTTCCCAATTTTGCAGTTAATATTTGTCATGATTAAGCAGTTTTGTTCCATAAAATTTCTAGCATAAGTGTAATTCGGCTAGCAGATTGTTGGAAAAAGTGTTGAGTAAATAAAAAGAAAAGAAACATGTCTTTACTTCGTGAAGACAAAATTGCGGCGAAAAAAAAATAGGGGGTTGCTGTAGCAGAGTTGGTCGCCAAATTTTAGCCAAAAAATCGCCAAGTTACCATAATCCAAAGATCAACCCTTTGTTTTTCTCTTCCCTCCCAGAATTTTACTTCAAAGATTCTGCTAATTATGCATTTTTAACCCAAGTTACCTAAATCTCTATGTCATTGATCATTACTTCAATTTCAATGCAGACTAATTAAAATGCTATAACTAAAATCTATTCTAAAAGTATATATAGTACAACTTTCATTCCATCTGTGATATAGCTGAAACATTTAAACAGCAATATTTATAGTTCGATTGCATTTCATATTATTTCCGATTTCATGTGTTTTTGTCAGAAATTGAAAAATCTTTGAAAAACTTTCAACATTTCTGTATATGCTTCAGTTGCATGCAAATAATTATAATTTTAAATAATTACCTTTTTACTTTAATTAATACCTAGTTTTAAGAGCAATAAACAAAACATTTAGGTTTTATTTAAGGGCTGACATAGTGATAATATCAGTATTAAATTTGCATTTTGCTTTTTTATATACATTCTAGATATTTAGAAAGGGAATTATAACCTAAAACTGTTTTTGTTTATAATTTTCAGTTGATCATAAATTTATAGACTGAGTTTTAAAAATTTTTGCTTTTCTTTCCGAGAAAAGCTAGTAAAACTTGATCTGAAATAGGAAAGATGAGACATATTTAATAATAAACAAAGCAATGTTATTATTCAGTTAATTGCAAATAAGGTAAACATAGCTGTAATTAGCATATTTTCCCCAAAGGGCACAAGATTTAACGGGAAAAGTGCGGAATCGCCCACTGCTTGTCGCATTTTTAAGAATTGCACATACTCGGTATCCATGTACACATCGACCTATTTTCACTTAAAAAACACCCCAGAATTGCACAAACTTGGCATTGCGCACTTCCTTGACTTTGTCCATGTACACATCGATATGCTTTCACTCAAAAAGTCAAAGAAGCACCCAGTTCTAGGTAAAAGTATATTTACAGAACATTCAACCACTTGGGTTACCATAAATGAAACAACTTGGTGATAAATGAAACAACAACTTCACAATAATACAGGGGTTACCCTTCAGTCTACTCTAACCAGAATCTGTATACTGGTGACGCAACATAAATTCAGAAAAATAAGAGTCAAAAATATCCTCCGTAGTGTCGGTAACCTGCATCGTTCGACCTTGCGCATTTCCTTCCTACAAACAGGGCACTTATAATGGCTTTTCAATAAATCTTCATTTACACACCACTCAATTAAGGCTCTTTTCCCCTTTCGTTCTAAATCCTCCAGAAAGTTCAAATTAATCTTACCACATTCAGCCATTCTACTGTCTAAACCACAAAGCAAGCAGTGTACTTTCGACACACATCACAAACCATTACAAATCTTTTTCATAATTCAAAATTTATCTCAATCATGCAACCGATTATGTCATAATAGGATTTCAATAACATTCAACTACTCAGGTCATCATAACTGAAACAACAACTTGGCGATAAATGAAACAACGGGCACATTTCAATCTACTCTAACCAAAGTTTTCAGTAAAATGTACTATTTACAATCTGCCATTTTATTTTGTTCTTTTCTTATGCAAATAACCAACTTCAGATACATATTTCCTAAGTTCAGAAAGCCCACTAGTCACTAAGCAGTAAGATCGCTGAGCAGCGGTAAATCCTAGCGGCCGCATGGGAGGTTTAGGGGTTTTTCACAAGTGCATTGTGAATTACCTGTCTGTTTCCCTCAATAAATCCTTAGACAAATAGACCTTGTGTGCTTTACAATAAACTTAAAATCTTAAGCTTAGAAATCTTTTATCATAGCTGATGATGATAGTAATATATTTTCTGGTCGATGTGTTAAGTTAGCATATTTCTACCGAAAACTGTTCGCCGCATGTTACCCTATAATGAAAAAAGTTTCAAATCGGGTTTTAGTTTAAACAGTATTTTCAGTATTAATCATATAATTTTTTATATCGACATTATTCGTAGTATTAATTGCAGGCATGTATTCATAAGTATAATATGCACAAAAGCTGTGTCAAATGAATATGCCTAGTTTTTAAATAACATCTTATACACTCTTTTGCAAAAAAATCAAAGCACCATGAAGGAAGTGGTTATTTCTGATGAAATTGAATATGTGTATAAGTCATATGCAGATAATAAAATGATTAAAAATTCAAGGTCATAGTACCTGTTCACGGCTCACTGTTGTGCATTGAGTGTTCAAATTAGTAGGTTGGTCGAACCGTCCCTGGCGGCAATGCATGCTTGAATTCATCGAGGCAAAGAGGTTCCTAAAGTCATCCTGTGACATATTCTGCC